AATGGCTACTGGCGGCGTGTGTGTGCATAATAATATGGAAGCGTTGCCCATTACGTGTGCATTCCTCCCTCCACCTCCTCTTTCTCCTTCCTCCTCCTCCTCCTCCTCCTTCCTCTTCTTCTTCCTCCTCCTCCTCCTTCTCCCTCCTCCTCCTCCTCCTCGTCCTCCTCCTCCTCCTCTTCCTACCTCGCTCTACCGTCCTCCACCCTCGTCCCACCACCCTCCTCTATCCTCCCTGCTCTCTCCTTCTCCCTTCTCCCTCCCTCTCTCCCTCCCTCCCCTCTCCCTCCTCCTCCTCCTCCTCCTCCTCCTCCTCCTCCTCTCCTCCTCCTCCTCCTCCTTTTCCTCTTCCTCTTACTCCTCCTCCTCCTCCTCCCCCTCCCCCCCTCCTCCCCCCTAGAATGGTCAGCCCCAACGGGGCGCCGGCAAGTTGGCCGGCCCGTTCGGCCGCGAATGGGCTCAGACGTCGAACTGGTTCAGATGGGAACGCTGGGGAGGAAAGGGGCCCTGAATTCTGGCGACTTGACATGTCGAGTTGGCAGCTGTCAAGAAATTGGATACCATCGGGTCTCTGGACGCTCATTTCGGGCCCGGAGGCCTACAAAAAGAGACCCACCGAGCGACATACATGCGACGGATGAAGTCAGGCCTACCTGAATTTCATGACGTCGGGGGTTTGGGGAGGAGGGTGGGATGGGAGGGAATGTGCCGATGACCGCATAGTCATACATCACGTTTTTAATGCACCATTGTTTCCTGTGAATGGTTTGTGTGTCTGCGTATGTGTGCGTGTTTATAGTTGTTGCTGACTTGACGTGGCTTATGTATGTATCTGTATGTTGGCATCTGTATACATACATACATATATATATATATATGGACTGTATGTTTGGGCTTGGTGATACAGCGCTGTGTGGCCTCACCTGTCACGTAGGCTCTTCACGGCGTGGGTGCCGTTCTTTGGCGCAGATATTATTTCATGCGCTCTGCTATACAGTGCTACTTACGTTGTGCAATGCAATGTCGTGCTATGTGATGTTATGCGATCGAACGTCACATCATCATGCTCGGTAGCTGCATGCTGTCGTGTGCGATGCTGTGTTCTGCCAGGGTAAGCCATGGGTTGCTGTGTTAAGTTCTGATACACAATGCTGCGCCATGCGGTGCTATGCACTGCTATGCGATGTAAAGCAAGCGCTGCTACATGATTAGCCGTACCCGTGCTATATGCATCTTGACGCTATGCGACGGCGTACAATGCTTTGCGCTGATAGTTTGTTCCACGCAATGCTACGTTAGCCATGCCGCGCCGTGTAGCGCAGTGTCACGCACTGTCATGCCACGCGATGCCACTCCATGCCTCAGTATTATAGGACTTGCCATGCCATGTCATGCTACGCTGTGCTGCAATGCTATGCTATACTATGCTCTGCTACGCCATCACATGTACTACTCACGTTGGTACTGCATGCGACGCTAGGCCATGCGAGGCAATGCGACGCAAGGTTGTGGTATGGTATGTCCTGCTATGCACAGTTACGCATTGATGCGCTATGGTTTACTGTAAAATGCTATGTGCTGGTGCGCGGTTCAGTGGAATGCAAAGCCATGGTGTGCAATTCCATGCAATTCTATGCGCCGATCGGCTGTGCTGCGCCAGTCTGTACCATGATATGCAATATTAGCCTTCGCAGCGGCATGGCATGCGGTGCTAGCCAGTGCAACGCAATACGAAACAGTGATACGATCTGGTATGTCACGCAATGGTATTCAACGCGACGATGGAAAGCAGCCTTTTGCGGAGTGCATCTTGATATGCTAAGCGGCGCCGTGCGATGCAAAGCGTTGTTCTGCTATGCTCAGCATTGCAGTTCATGCCTTCGTTGTCGTCGATGCAAGCGTCAGCTTCGCCTTCATTGCATTGCATACAGCGTTGTCGATGCGTTTCGCGTCTTCGCGTCATGAATCATACCAGAAGCACAACACGTTGTTTTGGTCACATTTGGTGAGTGTGTTTCTTGTTATGTAGCTTCGCCCAGTCGTGCCATGCACCCTTAACTATCTCATTTGGTCTCGCGTAGGGTGCGTGATAACACGCCTTTTTCATACTAGCCACCAAGAGGAACCACCCTGTCTACCACAAGAGGGTTGCTACAGCGAAGATTATGATTGTTTCGCACGTGTGGCAGCGAGTTTAGAGGACTAACCGTTTCGCAGATCATGCAGCAGTTGCTGGCCTGACAATACTGGGGTTCATGGGTGCAGGGGGATAGGGGGAAGGAATGTGGGGAGGGGGGCGTGGGGGGGGGGAAGGGCGAGTCGGGAGAGGTGAGGTGGATGCAAGATGGGGAAAACGATCAGGATGATGACATGGGGGAGAGGGAAAAGGCGGGAAAGAGGACAGGAAAGGGACAGGGAGTGCGAGAATGGGGAGAATCCCTCCCCTTTCCCTCCCCTCCTCTCTCTCTCCAGGTTCCTCCTCTCCTGTCTCCTAATTTCACGTCGTTGTCGTCCTCCACTTTCTCATCCTGTTCCTCCCCGGGTTTCTCCTCCTTCTCCTCTTCCCTTCGTCCTGCTTCTGCGGCTCCTCCTTCTCCTTCTCCTTCTCCTTCTCCTTCTCCTTCTCCTTCTCCTCCTTTCCCTTGTTCTCTTTCTCCTCCTCGTCCTCGTCGTCGTCCTCCTCTTCCTCGTCCTCGTCTCCTTCTCGTCCTCTTCTCCCTCATCTCCGTCCTTACTGCCCCTCTCAGTATCCACTTCCCTGGAGTCCCCCCAGAAGTTGAGGTCCCCGCGGAGAGTTTTGGGCAGTGCTGAGGGGCGCCACCGCTGGAGGGGTCGCCGATTCCTCCTCCTCCTCCTCCTCCTCCTCCTCCTCCCCCTCCTCCTCCTCCTCCTCCTCCTCCTGGAAGTCAAAGGGCGGAGAGGTTTTGGATGGTTTCCTGGGTGGTGATTAGGGGGGGGTGGATATCATGGCGGGGGCCGTGATGTCTCCCCAGATTTCATGGCGCCTCCTCTTAATTTGTTACGTCCCTGGCCCCCTCCTCGGGCCGCGCACATGCCGCCCGCCATGATGTGCACCCCCCCCCTCTTGGGCGCCCCTCTCTTGGCCGCCCCCGAGAAAACCCTTCCAACACCCCCACTTCGAACCTCCATCGTCGCCATTGCCTTCAGATCCGACGTCGCAGGGCATGCGAAGTCGTGGGGGTCACGACCAGGGAGCCCTCGACAGCAGCTCTCCGCGGCAGCTCTCTCGCGCCGGATCGAAACGTGGGGGCCCGAGGGCCGACGCCGAGAGGAGGAGGAGGAGGAGGAGGAGGAGGAGAGGAGGAGGAGGAGAGGAGGAGGAGGAGGAGGAGGAGGAGGAGGAGGAGGGAGGAGAGGAGGAGGAGGAGGAGGAGGAGGAGGAGGAGCGAGGAGGAGGAGGAGGAGGAGGAGGAGGAGTGAGGAGGAGGAGGAGGAGGAGGAGGAGGAGGCGGAGGAGGAGGGAGGCGGAGGAGGAGGAGGAGGAGGAGGAGGAGGAGGAGGAGGAGGAGGCGGAGGAGGAGGAGGAGGAGGAGGAGGAGGAGGAGGAGGAGGAGGAGGAGGAGGAGGAGCGAGAACGCCCGCCGGACAACCTGGCGACGTCCGCCTGTCGCGGCCCTTTCGGAGGACCAGCCGCCTCCTGGCCTGCCAAGAAGGCCCCGAGCCTTAGGTCGGGCGTGTCATCCTGCAGGGGGTTTTGGACGAACAATCCAACATAGTCCAACATACATTTTAAATCGTCCAAAATAGTTGACACATCGTCCTCAGATGATTGTTTTCTTTTTCACTATTTTGGAAGATTCCCCCTGGAGAGCGACAGGCCCGACTCAACCCGAGCCTTGAACCCGAACGTCCAACCTCGAACCTCCAACCTGCAAACTCCCGAAAGCCCCAACCCCGATCCGGGATCATGCAATGGTCCAGTCACCGCTCGAGTCGCCCTCGAGTCCGTTCCGGTGGTGCCCGGGCGGCCCGAGAACTGACCTGGCTTTTTGTGTGGCCCCCTGGCGGCAGTCCCAAGGCGGATTGGTCAGGTCCGTGCTCGGGAGGCTCCGGTGGCACTCGAGCAACTCACGCGGCGCCCAACTCTGACCCGACCTAAGCTTATGTTGTTTCCATCGTACTTAAGGTCCAAATCCCAGAAAGAATCTCGAGCACCTGAAGAAGTATCGAAGCAGCGTCGAACGAGTGTCGCCTCCCAGAGCCCGACACGTGACAGCCCTGCAGCTTCGGTACTTCCTATTGGTGCTCGAAAGTCCTTCTGGCGATCAGGGCTAAAGTTGGTCGGAGCATCGTAAGCCTGAGCCTGATCCCAGCCCCGAGCCTCAAGTCGGGCCTGTCCCCCTACAGGGGGATTGTCGACGGAAAATAAGAAATACCACCCACAGTGAAACAATAATCCAAACATAGTCGGGGGATGCTTTTTTTGTTTTGTTTTTGCTTTTGTTTTTTTACTTTTTTGGGGGGCAGTTTTGGGGTATTTTTCATTCTTCGTCGAACATCCCCCCTAGTCGGGGGCCAGGCCCGACAATAGTCTTCGTCGAAAACATAGTCCAACAATAGTCTGGGAAGTTTTTTTAAATACCTTTTTGGGTCAGTTTTGGGGTACTTTTCATTCTTCGTCGAACAGGACTCGGGTTCGCCATCGTTTTTTGACGACCGCGCCTCGGATTTTGACGAGGAGGAGTTTCGTGGGATGTCTGCAGCGGGAGGCCTCGTCAAAATGCAGGCTCGGCCTCGTCATTTTTTTGACGACCTCGTCGGGGATTTCCGAGTCCCCCGTACCCGGGTCTTACGTCCCCCGATCCTAGTCGTTTTTTTTTTTTTTTTTTTTTTTTTTTTTTTTTTTTTTTTTTTTTTTTTTTGTTTTTTTTTTTTGTTATATATATATATATATATATATATATATATAAGCGCCCAAATTAGTGAACAAATAGTCCAAACATAGTCTGGCGATTTTTTTCAATTTGTGTTTTATCTTTTTGGGCCAGTTTTGGGGTAGTTTTCATTCTTCGTCGAACATCCCCCCTCTCTCGGGGGCCGGGCCCGACGTGCCCCGAGCCCCGAGCGGCCGCCGCCCTCCCCAGGGCCAGCCGCTTCCTGGTCTGCCACGGCGACGCGGACGCCGTCGTCCGGCCCGGCTGCGGCGGCGCGGTGCGGCAGGCCGCCGCCGGGCCGGGGCCGCGGGCATCGAAGTGGACTCGAAGTAGAATCCCAGACATGATCGCGTCGTAAAAAAATCAGGACAAAGGGTTTCTGGCTATTTTCGGCCTCGGGGGGCCCTCGCCGGGCCTCGAGACCGTCAAAAAACTACTCAGGACGAAAAACCGGCCCCAGGGAAAGGGTCGGGACTTCCGGGGCCGCGGACATCGAACTGGACTCGAAGTAGAGTCCAAGTCGAGAGGGGAAGTCGGGGGAGAAAAAGATACGGATGCGTGTTGTCCCCCTTCGTTTTCGGCCTCTCCTGGTGCTCCAGGGGAATCCTCGCTGTCACCGCTGGATTCGCCTCGAAATTCTGGTCAGAACGCACCCCAAGAGAGGTCTGGGGACAACACGTATCCGTATCTTTCCGCCCTCCAAGAAAGAGAGAGAGAGAGAGAGAGAGAGAGAGGGGAAGAGAGAGGGGAAGAGAGAGGGAGAGGGAGAGTGGACGGGGGCGATAAGGCAGGAGAGCACAGAGGCCACCCGGACAAAGATACCACCCTTACCCCCCCCCCCCCATCGTTTCGGGGCTTTGTCAAGGGAAGGGTCAGAATAGAAGGTTTCGTTGGGCCTGTCCCTCTACAGGAGGGGCATTCAAGAATAGTAGGAAACTCGTCAGGGGACGATTTGTGGATGATGTCTTGTGCATGTCTGGAGTCTTTGTTGGGCATTTTTAATTTTTCGTACGAGCTCCGCCTGTAGGCGGACATGCCCGACCTAAGCTCAGAGGCCTTCGGGGCTGCGGAAAAGGCTTCAAGGGAGGCTCCGTTCAGAGGGTTCGTCACAGGAGGGTTTGAAGGGAGGCTTTGAGGGTTTGAAGGGAGGGTTTGAAGGGAGAGGCTTGTTCAAGCTTTCAAGGGAGGCTTTGACCGCGAGTGCGTTTCGTGACGGGAAGCGGGATGCCCGTGAGGCGCTCCAGCAGGGGCCTCGCTGTCGAGGGGGCCGCAGGAAGGGTGTCTTCGCTTCCTCGGCGGAGGTGCGGCGGACGTGCGGCGGAAGTGCGGCACGAGGGCGGCTCCGAAGGCGGGAGCCGGCGGAAGGCCGGCGGAAGGCCGGCGGAAGTGCGGCGGAAGTGCGGCGGAAGTGCGGCGGAAGTGCGGCGGTTGTCTTCTCTTCCTCGGCGGAAGTGCGGCGGAAGTGCGGCGGAAGGGGGCGGAACCAGCACAGGGGCGGCTCAGAGGGCGGAAGCCGGCGGGAGGCCGGCGAAAGCCAGCGGGAGCCTTGAAACGGGGGTCAATGCAAACGGGGGTCAGCCAGAGCGCCAGATCTTGCAGGATCCTGCAGGGCCAGGCTCCCATTGACCCGGGCTTGGGTGCAGGATCCTGCAGGATCCCTCGCACTGGCCCGGGTTTGGGTGCAGGGTCTGGCAGGATTTTGCAGGATTCTGCAAGGCCTGGCTGACCCGGGTCTGGATTGACCCGGGTCAGAAGATCCCCGAAGCCAGCGGATATATGATTACCTTGTGACGTACCCAACCCATCGGCACCGGGGGATGATATGAGGTGTGCCGACAGCAGTGTGACAGCAACACTGCAAGAGGCGGTGCACGGCTGATATCCATATCGTGCGGAGTGTGCGTGGCCGACTCGCAGAACCGAGGTACAAAAGGCCAGGAGGCATTGTAATGGGAGGGAGAAGCAAGAGGAACACATCGGGGTTGAAGAACAATCACCTCGTGGGGCCCCGCTGTGCTGGCTCTCCAGCAGCCTTCAAAAGTGGCGACAGTTTCGCACTTCGTAGCCTCCCCAGGGATGGCGAGGTCTTTTTGGGATCTGGGTGAGAACCCAGTGTGCTGGCCCCCCCAGCAGCCCTCGGAAGTGGGGACAGTCTTACACTTCGCAGCCCCCCAGGGATGGCGAGGTCCCGTTTGGATCTGTGTGGGGCCCCACCTGTGCTGCCCCGTCCAGCAGCCCCCGGAAGTGGCGACAGTTTCACACTCGCAGCCCCCAAGAGATGGCGAGGTCCCGTTTGGATTTGCGCGGCACCCCGCTGTGTTGGCCGCCCCAGCGGCCTTCAAAACTGGCGACACTTGCACACTTCGTAGCCCCGCAGGGATGGCGAGGTCCCGGTTGGATCTGCGTGTGGCCCCAAAGTGCTGGCTCCCCCAGCAGCCCTCGAAAGTGGCGACAGTTTCACACTTCGTAGTCCCCCAGGGAAGGCGAGGTACTGGTTGGATCTGCGTGTGGTCCCACTGTGCTGGCTCCTCCAGCAGCCCTCGAAAGTTGCGACAGTTTCGCACTTCGTAGGCCCCCAGCGAAGGCGAGGCACTGGTTGGATCTGCGTGTGGCCCCACTGTGCTGGTTTACCCAGCAGCCCTTGAAAGTGGCGACAATTTTGCACTTCGCGGTCCCCAAGAGGGATGCGACAGGAGAGAGCCGAGAGGAGAGCGGGGGGGGAGGCGAGGAGGAGGAGGAGGAGAAGGAGGAGGAGGGGGAGGAGGAGGTGGAGACCCCACTGCTATATTCAGATCGAGAACCTGACCGAGGGAGGGTTGGGGCAAATCGCTTCCAAGAGATGGAAGCGTTCTTCGGTGCAGAGTTTCCAGGATTGGCCACAGGGCATCACCGGCCTGGGCGAGAGTTGGATACACATTGTGCCAGATGTCTCTCCAGCGCTCGGCCCTGCTATGGCCGTGCAAGCTAGGCGTCTGTCCGATTCCCGGCACCCCCGCGCGCGAGTCGAATATTTAATCGCTTCGCTCATTCCGCCGGCCCATACAGTCTCATGTCTGCCGTTTGCCCGAGGGCCTGGTGTCAATGCGGCGCTTTGGGGGTTCCTGGGGCCGCTTGGGGGACTCCTGGGGCGCTCGGGGGGGCATTTGGGGGGCCTCCTGGGGCCGCTTGGGGGACTCTTGGGGGCCTCCTGAGGGCCCCGTGGGGGCCTCTTGGGGCCTCTTAGGGGCCTCGTAGGGGCTTCTTAGGGCCGAGGGCTCGAAATGTTGTTTCGTGTTCCCTCTCTGGGGCCCCTTTGGGGGCGTTCTTGGGGCCCTCTTGGACCGTTTTGGAGGCTTCTTGGGCCGTCTTCGAGCCCTCTTGGGCCATCTTGGGGCCCTCTTGGGTGCCTCTTGGGCCCTCTTGGGGCGATCTTGGGGGCCTCTTGGGCCGTCTTGGGGCGTCGGGAAGCCGAAAAGGTGGAAGCTCCAAAATCTCTCAAAAACCTATGGAAAAACAATGATTTTTGCCTCCGGGGGCCCTATTGGGAGTGCTCTTGGAGGCCTCTTGGGGCGTCTGGGGGCTATCTTGGGCGTCTTGGAGCGATCTTGTGGCATGTCGGACCCCTCGTGTACCATCTTGGGGGCCTCTTGGGGGCCTCTTGGCCTTTCTTGGGGCTCTCGGGGACGTCTCGGAGCCCTGTTGGTGCGCTCATGGAGCGCTCGGGGGGACCCGGCCGGGACCCGGCCGGGACCCGGCCGGGACCGGCCGGGACCGGCCGGGACCTGGTCGGGGTACTTTTCGTCCGGGGACCCCCAGGGGCCGCCCCGCGCGCGCGAACTAGAAAATTGTTAACCAGTTACCGGAGATCTTAGCACGCCTCTGGCCCGTTGGGCCGGCGAATTTGGTGCCAGCATTGGAATGTAACCTTGTGCTGCCGAGATTAATCCCACAGGGATAATAAAGTTCGGGGTCGCGGGGGGATTTATAAATGTTGCCTACCGGAGGCCAGCATGTGGGAGGAGAAAGAGATGATGTTAAGAGGACCGAACGCCGAGGATCGAGGATCGAGAATCGAAGTCCGAGGATCGAGGATCGAGATCCCAGAAGTAGAGAAAGATAGACAGACAGAAGGAGAGAGGTGGTGGAGGAGGAGGAGGAGGAGAAACGCCAAAGTTCCAAACCTATTAAATTTAATTTGTAAACAAACAATGGAAAGTCAGATTTTCATCTGCTCGCGTAGGGTAGCTCACGTGCCTCGTTTTCGTGGACAGTAAACCACAGCGATAAAAAAAAGTTCAGGGGGGCAGGGGGGAGGAAACGGAAAGAGAAAGAGAAGAGCAGACAGAAGAGAGAGAGAGAGAGAGAGATAAAGAGAACGCTGTTGGTTTCGCTTGAGACATCATCGACAACGTCTTCGCTTCGTTTGATGTTGCTATCTCAACATAATAAGAAGTTACCCTCGATGGTGAACTTTTCACGGTGAAAAAAAGTTCGGCCTCCGCGCCCCGCGCCCCTGACCAAACTCTTCTTGGCCGTGGATAATCAACTCTAGCGTGTAAAGGGGGGGTCTTTTTTGATCATCGGCACACGGTTACTCTTGAGGAGGGTTGTGATCTGACGTTTCAGGGGCTCCAGCGCCCAGACTTCCCAGGAGAACATAGCACCAGGACCTCCGAACCCAAAACTCCAGTCGAGGCTTCGAGCAGCCCAGATGGGCCCATAGGTCTAGAGGGCTACCTACCACTCTGGCTGGTCAGGGTGGGCGGGGTCAACGGTTCTCCCCCCTCCTGCTGCTCCTCTCCCTTTCCACGCACGCACGCACACACACACACACACACCCCAGAGCCGCTGAGGCTGCCTACCAAGCCTCTGATCCCCGACCCCGTCCTCGCCCTCCTCCTGCCGGCGGCACTCGACTGCCGGCCTCGCGCCACTGCGGGTCTCCCAGGGGCTGCTTCCTCGGGCTCCGGGGCCACCAGAGCATATGGCTCGGGATGCCGAGCCGGCCTCGGGGAACGGGCCCCGCAGGACCACGCCTCGAGCACAGCTCGAGCCTGCGAGCCTCGGGGTCGTCCCCGGCGCTCGCCCTCGCCTTCGTCCCGTCCTCGGCCTCGCCCTCGGCCTCCGGCCTCCACGTCCTCCCGGGGGCGGCCACGAGTGGACGGGGCGCGCTGCTGTTCTTCACGGTGGCCATTTCGGAGAATGTGCGTGCAGCAGGTGGGAATGAGGACGCGTGCTGATCTCAGTAGGGGGCCACATGCGAACCCTTCACCTACCCCCCACGATTTCTGAGGGGGAGGGTGGGGCTCACTCCATTTGGGAGCTCCCGAACGAAGTGAACCCCACCCTCCCCCTCAGAAATCGTGGGGGGTAGGGGTAGGGTTCGCACGTGGCCCCCTACTCAGAGGACATCGTAAGACTATGCTAGCGGAGCGGTACTTCTCATTGGTCAACGCCACATCACCCGACTGGTGGGGAACTCGGATAATGGTGGCATCTGTAGCTAGCTCACGACGACCAAAGTGCCCGCGCATCGGCGAGCCATCTTCACCAGCTCAACCTCAAGGGTTTTCGGTCCTCTGCCCCAGAAGTTCAAAGCTAATCAGCGGCAGCTGAAGCATTTTTTCATTTTGGGGTATGCACGGCCAGATCCGTATCGCCAATATCAACTGTATCGCGTCGACATTAAGCCCAACAGCAAGAACAGTCGAAGTTTCTTTCACTGTATGCCGACGGATGCCATCAACACCCACGTAGCATCATTTCAGGATTCACGACGTGGTGCATCAATACAGACGTTGAACTGTGTGGTAAACACAACATCGGCAACGATACCGTCGATGCCTGGGCACAGCGTAGGCACGATGGGGGCTGACAAAATTCCAAATAAGATCCATCACAATGAAGATGGATCTTAAAAGCACCGGTCACACGATCCACAGTGACAATGATCACATAGCAGTAAATGCAAGGGCGCGGGTCATGCTAAGCTCAGCCACCTGGGCAGTCTCAAGTCAGCAGTGCAGCATCGCCAGCATTGTCGAGTTGAAGCCATGTTTCTCCGATCTGCAGAGCCAATCCATATTTCCATGTAAACCCGTGTGTGAGAGTGTGTTAAGCGCCGGCCGTTGACAGTTGGATACCTGGAAGGCCATGGCGGGCATCATGACGAGTGCTGCGTAAGCGTGCTCCTTGCTGGCAGCAGGGACGCGCACTTCACACTGGAGGAGCATCGGGCACTTGTCGGAGGGCATGGGGGCGAGGCCGAAGGGGAGCGGAGAGCCCTCCACTGCGACATCGGTTTCGGTTCCGCTTCGTGCTGTGCGTGCGGGCGGGGCGAAGCTGTGCAAGGGCGAGGGATGCGCTTCCGTCGTTGGGGACATCGGACGTCCAAGTGCTTCCCTCCTGCGTGGTTCGCCACGGCCGCCCACCGCGCTCTGGCCCTGCGCTCCTGGCTGCTGCTGCCCGCCCGGCTGCTCATCGTCGAATTCTTCGGCGTCTGAGCGTCCCTTCCTCCTCTTGGCCGTCCCCATTTCCTCTTGCTCGCCAATTCGCTAGTTCGTGCCCCTATCTAGCTTCTCGCTGGAGCGGATTTCGCCGCCTCGCCGCTGACGGACAAGTGTCCGCAGATGTGCCGCGTGGTTGCCCTGCGTGTACCGCGGAGGGTCGCCGCGATGCACGCCGGGTGGTCCCGTGGCCATGCTGTTGTCCAATGCGGTTGCCTGGCGCGGCTGTCCTGTGGTTGTGCTGTGGTCGTCTTCTGTCCCGAGTATGTATAGGCTGCGGGATGGCCAAGCGTGTAAGTGGAAGGCCACGAAGAGTTCGAATATCGAAGAGTTCAGGCAAGTGAGGGAGTGAGAGGAGGTAGACGAGTTAGAAGGGAAGCAACAGGGAGGCTAGATGAAGATTACACGGACATGTCAACTACTGGGGTTCGGAGCAGAGCACCCAGACATCCAACGTCTTGACATTGAACCCAGGTCGACCCGACTTGGGCGAACTTCTCCTAAGCGGCATTGCCTTGCGCTGCTAACCAGTGCTTTGTTTGGCATTGATTCGCATTGCTTTGTGCTGCTTTGAGCTGCTTGGTGTTGCTTGGCATTGCTTGGCATTGCTTGGCGATGGTTGGCGTTGCTTGGCGTTGTTCGGTGTTGCTGGACGTTGCCTGGCATTGCTCGGGGGTTACTTGAGTTGCATTTCTTACCTTGGCATTGCTTGGCATGCCTCGGCGTTGCGTGGCGTTGCTTGGTATTGTTTGGCGTTGCTTGGCGTTGCTTGCTGTTACATGATGCTGCTAGGCGTCACATGGCGTTGCTTGGCAGTATAGATTGGCGTTGCGTGGTATTGGTTGGAGTTGTTTGGCTTTGCTTGGCGTTGCTTGGTGTTAACGGCTTTTGTTTGGTATTGCTAGAAGCAAGACCAATCAGCCCAAGGGATGAGTAAGGACACGCATCCGAAACACCCGAGGCAAGCCTCTTCAAACACAGTTGAAAAAGCAATACCAAGCAAGCCGGGGAAGGCCTCTTCAAGCACAGTGAGGAAGCAAAACCAGGCAACCCGAGGGACGCCCCTCCGAAAACAGTCAGGAAACAAGACCAGGCAACCCCAGGAAGGCCTCTTCACACAGAAGACCCGCCAACCCGAGGAAGGCCTCCTCAACACCAGCAAGGAAGCAAGAGGCCAGGCAACCCGAGGCAGGCTCCTTCACGCACACTGCAAGGAAGCAGGACCGAACAACCCGAGGAAGGCTGGCCGACACCCACGGGTCCCCCAGAAACGCACAAAAGCCCCTCAGGCAAGCCCACCCTCTGCCCGCACAGTAAGGATGAGCAGCCTCCTCCTCCTCCTCCTCCCCCTCCTCCTCCTCCTCCCCTCCTCCTCCTCCTCCTCCCCCTCCTCCTCCTCCCCCTCCTCCTCCTCTTCTTTCTCAGGGTTCTCCTTGCATCCTTGCCCCTTCGGCCCTGTCCTCGGCGACTTTCGCTGGCTGGTGCCGCTCGAGAGCGCCAGCATGGCCTCCGGAGGCCCTTGCGCCCTCGCCGCGCCTCCTTACAGTCGGGGCCCTGATGAAGGAACCCTTTTCGTTGGGGAGGGGCTCCGCGTTCCTTAAGTGTTTCACAGCTTGCCTCAGGTTGTCCTTATGTTTTCGATCGGAAATCGAAGTTAGACTTATGGACAAAAGGGGCCTCGTTCCTTATTCAGGGTTCCTCAGGTCAACGCCCCGACTGTATATCATATGTACGGGCCGACTGTAAGCGGGGCAGAGTGGCGCAACGTTTTCGCTGTTGGTGGCCTCCGGGGGCCCGCCTTCGGGCCCCAGGGCGCTGCCGATGCGCGGCTCGCTTGAGGAGGCTCCGGCCCCTTCCTGGCGCCTTCCGCGGGCCAGCCTCCTTCGGAAAACGTCCACGTGGGCCTCCAAGCCCCTCCACTCACCACTCACCAGACCACCCCAACCCAACCCGAAGGCCTCAATTTGCCCTCCATTTCCAGAGGGGGGGGGGTCGGGGAATATCGACAAAACTCGTATGGAGCCCATACCCCCCCCAACCCGAAATCCGCGTCTTCGGGTTGGGTTGGGGTGGTCTGGTAGGTAGTCATCCACTGTACACGTGGCTGCACTTCTCCTCCACGCCCGTGAGGACGTGCCTGCTCGGACCGCCACCTCTTCCGCTCCGCGCTTCCTCCCGTCCTCCCGCTCCCTCTGTTTCTCGCGCCCCTCGCTCGCTTCGGCAGCGCCCCTGGCGACGCCGACCGGCATCTGCCCTGGCCTCGTGCCCTGGCCTCGTGCCCGCGCTCCCAAGAAGTGGCTGGGCAGTCAGGGGGCAGACAGCACAAACCATACCAAAAAGTTGTGGAATACGATCGATGGAGAGGAAACATGTTTTAACTATGTTTCCAAAGCGCCACAACCTGTTCCAAACATGTTTCGAACATGTTCCAAGCGTGTAGAAGACGTCTGAAGTACCACTGTAGTTCAATGATAGAATGGTCAGGGTGTCCGTTGCCATGACATCCACGAGCAAACAGGAAGGGCCTCCCCAGGCCTGGCTCAGGACTCCCTCCTCGAGGGGCCCTCTGACGAGGCCCAGGCCGCCCCCTCCGCCTCGGTCTGATCTGGGGCTTCTCCTCCTCGTTGCCCGGACATCGAGCGCATGTTTTTCCTTTCGACCCGGGTGGCCCTGAGGTCTCGACCCTTCCCATGGACAATTTCTGAGAAATTGTGGTGGTCTCTCCTCCTGGGGCAGTCTCGTGGTGGTCTCTCCTCCTCCTCCTCCTCCTCCTCCTCCCTCCCTCCCTCCCTCCCTCCCTCCCTCCCTCCCTCCCTCCCTCCCTCCCTCCTGGGGGCCGAAGACGGCCCCTGGAAACCGAGACGGAGGAACTATGGCGGGAATGGCACAGTCAGTCCGCCCGAAATTCGGACTGGCAGGCATCCTCTCCACTCGGCGGCGAGCGTGTGGGGGGAAGCGAGAAGGAGAAGGCCTGCTACGAAGCCCTCGCGCTTTCCGCGAAGTTGTTTTGGGTGTCTTCGGGGAAGGCTGATGAAACTCAGAAGGCCGGGGGACTTCCGAGCCCGCCAGGGGGGAAAGGCGGCGCCGGGGGGAGGGGACGGGGGGAAGGGACGGAGGGGAGGAAACAGCAGAGCGGAGAGGAGCAAGAGAGAGAGCAGCAGCGCGCGCGCGGGCGCGACCTTCCTCTCCTGCCTCCTCCACGCCGCGCCGCGCAGCCTCCTTTTCCTCTCCCCTCGGCCTTCCTGCCCGTGGTTGACAAAGGTCCACTCGGAAGGGCCCCCCTGGGGCAGTGGCGGACTGTGGGACTTCTTTCCCCCTTTTTCCTTCCCCTCAGTGGCGTGCGATCCTTTTCTTCTCCTTCTGAGAAGGCCCTCTCCTTCTCACTTCCCCCCCTCGCTCGCCGCCGATCCGCCCCCCCCCCTGCGCCTGGGGCGACCCAGCCGCCGCCGGGCGCCCCAGGCCCTCGAGGCCGCCGGCACGCCGGTGAGCTTCCACTCCTACCCTGGCCTGGGGCACGGCTCTTGCGAGGCTCCGCGGGCCTCGGGCGCGTGCCCAGTGGATCCCCCGCTCGGGGGGCTCCGCCAGCTCCTGCCGAGGGGATCCAGCCTCGAGGATCGGCGAGCGAGGGGTTCTGGACGGCCTGGGACGTCTGTGTCTGGGCCTCCCAGATGGGGTTGGAGTACAGTCGGGGCCCTGAAGAAGGAACCCTTTTTGTTGGGGAGGGGCTCCGTGTTCCTTAGTTGCTTTACAGTGCTCCTTGGGTTTTCCTGAGGTTTTCCATGGGAAATCGGAGTTTACTATATGGGAAAAAGGGGCCTCGTTCCTTCTTTATCGTTCCTTGGGTCAACGCCCCGACTGTAGATGAGGCCGGAGGGTCGCGCCGCATCGCCGATGCATCGGCGACGCAGCGCGATGCGGAGCCCGACTCTCGCCACGCCGACGGCGCCCTGTGCATCGCCGACATCGCCGGGGCATCGCTAATGCATCGCCGATACATCGCCGATGCAGCATCGATGCGGCGCGATCCTTCGACACCATCTACTCCGACCCCATCCGGGAGGCCTCTATTCAGCCAAGCAGAGGGGTGTGGGGGGGAGGGGGGAGGACTTCTCAGGAGCACCCCTGCTTCTTAGAGGGCGCGGGCCTCCTCTATAGATGTAAGGCCGGCGCCTTCTCAGAAGCAGCCTCCTTCTAAGTCTTTAAGAAGCCCTCCCCCCTCCTTCCACCCCCCTTGTGCGCACCGCCAATCTACTGTGGGCGGTCGGGGGGAGTGGTTGGCGGGTCCTGCTGGCTCCTCCTGCTGGTGGAGGTGGCGACCCCTCCCCCCCCCCCAGAGGGCAGTCCCTTCTGGCGCTGCCTGGCGGGCCGGGTGGCTGGGCGGGCTGCCGGGCTGCCAGAGGGGGGGAGGCCACCCGGATGGCGGCGGCAGGCCCAGATTCAGGAGGAACAAAAAAAACACAGACACAATTAATCGTCGATGCCCAGGAAAAGATGGGAAAATATGGGAAGTGGGGGGAAGACAAAACACCCAGAAAATATAGGAAAATATGGGGAATCCTTTTATTTGTATCTATTTATTTGTGTGTCCCAGTTCCCCTTCACAGATCTCAAAAACGTATGTCGAAGCAGAAGAAGCGGCACAGACATAAACTTTTGGCGCTCCGCGCGGAGCGCCAACAGGTTGTGTTTACGTTGTTGTCCCCTCCTCTGGCATGGGGGCGAGCGGCGGGGGTGCATCCACAGCCGCCGCCCGGGGGGATCCGCCCTCGGGAACCTCGGCGGGCGGTGGATCCGGATCTATCTTCGGGCTCTCGGGGGTCAGCCACACTCAGGCATCCACTGCCTGCCGAGGTCCCCGAAGACCGATCCTCCAGGCGGTGGATATGGATAAATCCCCGCCTCGCGCGAGTGGCAGCTTTTTTCGAGGTTCCCATGGCCCCCGTATAGAACAGCGCCGGGACATCGGACGCCTGGGACGACAGGGGCAGGTGGGATGAGGAGGCGCTCGATGGGTTGCGCAGCAGGCCGGCAGGGACAGAAGGAGGCGTGCAGGCAGGCAACGGCGCGCGCAGAAAGGCGAAGAGCCAGGTTCATTGTCGGGTATGGCGTCAAGCCCCCCCCTTCCGAACCGATCCCTCCTGAGCACGGCATTCGTATCCTGGCGTCCTGAAAAGGCACGGCTGGCGTATCTGCTCCGTCTCGCACCCGGAGCTGTCGACTTGGTTTTGAGAAGCACTGCGACATGATGCCGCACATGCTGCAGCAGTTTCTGGCTGGCACCTGAGACGTGCATCTCCTTGCCAAGCAGTGACGCATATTTGCAATTTTACATCGGCTTACATTGGCGCTCCGAAAGTTGATTCCGTTTTGAGGGGCACGGGTCCACGCGGATGCAGCGCGGCCGCATGCCTGCAAGGTCGCTGCAAGTAGGAAGTTGTGCACGAGCCTCGCGGACCTGGTCAGAAACCGCGCTCGGGCGTGAACGCTGGCAAGTCTGGCCCGCGGTCTGGACCACCGGGGGTACAAACATGGATCCGCAGATGACATGAGTTTTGCAGCGTGAGGCGCGAGGCCAATTCTCAGCTCCGCCTGAGAAGATCTGAAAACCTGTTTTTGCGCGAGTCCCACTTTTTCGCTCGCGAGCGACGCAGATGGCTGCGCGCCGTCCAAGGGGTCGAATGCAAGAGTCCAGCATAGGGCAGGAGCCGCCAGCGACTCGGAAAAAAGAACAGGCGAAGCACAGCGGCGCCTCTGCAGAGGCGGGGGCAAAGACAACAGAGACAGAGGGCGAAAAGAAAAGACAACAGAGACAAGGAGGAGGAGGAGGACGAACGCGCAGGAGGTCAGGCTCAGACGACGAGGAACAGGAAGTACCTTGCCGAAGAGCAGGAACTTGGAAAAGCCGCGCGAGTCCCACGCAAACCAGCAACTTTTGGGTCGGCTGGCAGACCTCTCGGCTCGCCCTGGGAGCAGCAGTCCGATCGCTTTTTTCTTCCAGAGGGCGTCCTGTGCGCTCTGCCCACGTTTCGGGCCCCTGCGCCGTTTGGGATCCAAAGTCCAGGTCGGGAGCGGATGCCCAATCCCAGACCCCCGACGTCATGATTTTTTCACGACGTCGACCCCCAGCTGTCTGGACCCATTCCCCGGGACCGGTTTTTCGTCCCGAGTCGTTTTTTGACGGTCCCGAGGCCCGGCAAGGGCCCCCAGGGGCTGAAAATGGCGAACAACTTCTCGTCGCGATTTCTTCACGACCCGAGGGGGTCTGGGATTCTGGCCCAGGGGGCGGGGGGCTGGGCTCACATCGTGCCCCTGCCGCTGCGGCCGCACGGGGCGAGAGGCGCCGGTCCTGCCCCCAGGACCCCGCCGGCCCTCCACCCTCGCTCCCCGAGCGGCTCTCGCTGGCCGCCTGCGAGCTCGCGCTGGCCTCGGTTCGGGCGGACCCCAAAGCGGGTCGTCGCGCTGGTCGAAGGAAGCAGACTCCTCTTCCCTCTCCTCCTCCTCCCTCTCCTCCTCCTCCTCCTCCTCCTCCTCCTCCTCCTCCTCCTCCTCCTCCTCCTCCTCCTCCTCCTCCTCCTCCTCCCTCTCCTCCTCCTCCCTCTCCTCCTCCTCCTCCTCCTCCTCCTCCTCCTCCTCCTCCTCCTCCTCCTCCTCCTCCTCGCGCTGGTCGAAGTAAAACGACGCGAAGATCGGGACAAAATCGGATCGGGAGAACTCGAAATCTCTGAGAATCGGCGGGTTTGGAGGATGTATTGGGCGCCGCGGCCGCTCCAGAGCGTTCCGGAACGCTCTGAGAGCGCTCCGGAACGCTCTGGAGCGATTTATCCCGATCCTAGCCCTGTTTTAAAGGGGGTCGTGCGATAGATTCGGTGCAATAGATTTGTGGGGCTGCAATGCATCTGGGGCGTGCGATACATTCTGGGGCGCAAATGTGTTGTTGGATTTTCGCGTGCAATATACGAGTTGCAATACCAGTGCAATCGAATTCTCCGCCGCAGCACATTTGCAATACAGTTGCCCCAAAGCTATTGCACCACCCCTTTGCAGCTGGACCCCCTGTTGGATCACCCAAATCGATAGCGACCAGAGGCACCGTAGCAGCACTGGGGAATCTTTCGGGTCGGCGCAGTGCTCCTGTGACTGTTTGCTGGAAGAAGTGCCTCGCGTGCCGCCCGCTGACATGTGACATGCTCTGGG